GGACACGTTTTTCTGCCAATCTGTGTGTTTCCCTTTTTGTCCAAATATATTTTTTACGACAACAACTGTCTTGTCCACGGCGTCTTTTATTCTTTCCACTGGGGTTTAGCAAGTGTGTTTATAAAGAGACGAAAATCTCTTTTCTGTGACTAGTGTTAGTGCCTCAACATGGCTACGCTCGTGAAAGCAAAACAACGACTTCCCTTTTGTGTGCACCCTTTGTGGCTTCCGTTCTCGCCGAAATTTCGAAATCTCAGAGATATGGTGAGGCCATGAGAAAAAAATAAAATTTGAAAATCCGGAATTCCGGGAAAATCCGGAGGACTTTCATCAGTTTGTGGCACGGTGTTGCGTGGTGATCCTCCAGTGGCAAAGAAAATAAAAATTTTCGAGGGTTTATTTATTTATTTTTGGGGGGTGGTATTTTCTTAAAATGGCTCAGGAGTGCCCCCTATACATTTTTAACAAAGCACCCGTGGTTGCATGCTTCTTAAAAGGCCTGGCAAAAACATTTAGTTCTTGTCCTATGTGTCAGTACCCCAAAACACAAGTTCCCAAATATGGTCAGGATAGTGAGGGCCCTTTAGAGCTGCTTGGATCCCTATTTTTTTCCTAATTAAAACGACACAATTTGGTTTTCTTACTGATAAGTGTGCATAACCGACACCTACAACAGTCAGAGCCACTGCTGTCAATGCCAGGAAAGGAGGATGTTGTACACATTTAGCAGAGATCAACACCAGCTTTAAACCAATCGAAATGGTAAACTACAATAGATGTTGATTAATGTTTTGATCAATTACAGTTGAAGTGTTGATATGATTCAGTTATGATACTTCAGAAGTACTTAATCTAGCTCAGGAAACAGTTGAGTTTTCACAGAAATTAACACATTTAACTTGATGAGGGACCAGATTCAAAATAGTTGGTGATTAATGTTCACTGGAGAGGGATGGAGAACATATGAAACTTGTGTTGAGGAGGAAAAAAAACTTGTTAGTGCTGGGGAGGGCTTTGCCTCGGAACCCCAAATGAATAGCTACACATCCATTTAAGACAAATTATACATTCTGTTACATCCTCACAAAAACATCTGGTAATGTCATACGAATGAAGCAAAAAAAAAAACAAAAAAAAACATACTTTTCACTCTCTCCTAGCCACTTAGACATGAGGTCTGAGGAGGAGACGGAGAAGAAGGTGGAATTGTTGGCCTCAGTGGCCACAGCCTTGGCCAGGTATGACTTCCCTGTTCCTGGTGGACCAAACAGCAGGATGCCCCTCCATGGCGTCCGCTTACCTGAGAATGTACACATCTTGATGTTAATCAGAGATGAAAGTGGACTTTTCTGAAAATTCCGGAAAAAAAAAAAAAAAAATTATATATATCTCTCTCTGTGCGTGTACACACACACACACACACACACACACACACACACACACGCACTTAGACGATCAAGCATGAATTAGTTTACACAAAACGCTATTCAAATACTCGACATTCAATGATTAATCTTCCTTTTGTGTGCACACGTGTACCCTTTGTGGCTTCCGTTCGGGCCGAAATTTTGAAATCTCCGAGATATGGCGAGGCCATGAGAATGCGAGGCGAGGGTATTACTGTTGTGGCGACGCCACTCAAGCGAAGCGTGCCTCAGCAGTAGATAGTCCGCTGCTCTCTGCTGTGCGTGATTCAGCGCGAACATGTACGCAAGCGCGTCTTTTGATTTCAACCAATCAGCGCCGACGCAACCGACGTCACACATGACAACAGTTAAGCTAAGCTAGCCGAGACGACACTTGAAGTCGGACGGACACGTTTTTCTGCCAATCTGTGTGTTTCCCTTTTTGTCCAAATATATTTTTACGACAACTGTCTTGTCCAAGGTGTCTTTTATTCATTCCACTGGGGTTTAGCAAATGTGTTGATAAAGAGACGAAAATCTCTACTGTTACTAGTGTTAGTGTCTCAACATGGCTACGCTCATGAAAGCAAAACAACGAAATCAAACGCGTCTTTGTTCAATGCTGTCAACTAATATCTGGATTAATTTTAGACAATTTTTCCTCAATCCTCCGGAGACATTTTCATAAAAATGTGAAAAACCCGGAATTCCGAATGTGGGATAATTAAACACAAACAAAATTATTGTTACCAAAATGTTAACGGACCGGCCCCCCCCCCCCCGCCCCCCCAAAAACAGTTATTGAATAAACTTGAATCTGACGAAAATAATAATAAATGATTTAATGAAAATTGGCCAATGAAAATCAGCATTGCTTTTGCTGATATAGGCCGCTTCATTAAATAAGCCGCAGAGTTGAAAGCGTGCGACAAAAGTCGGGTTCATAGCCCGGAAATTCCAGTATATTCGTTGAATGTTATTTAGAAAAAAATAACAAAATCTGAGATTTATTTATTTATCCAAGATATTTTATTATTCTGCATTTCAATGCAAATGTTCCATATCCTTGCGAATTGACAGATAACTAACTACATTCATAAAAGGTTGTATTTAATTTTTGCTCTAAAAACATTAGTTTAATAGCATTTAAAAAACACCCAGCAACAAACAACACCCGGCAACAAACATCGTCATCTTCAGATGAAACACCTGCAGTTTGAAAACAATTGTACGAAATCTTTAGGAGTTCCTTAAAATTGACCCCGATGAAAGGCCAAAAATGGGTCCGAGTTTGAAAGAAAATTCAAATTAGTGGGGTAAAACATTGAATTTAGATGTTTTAAGAACCAAGCATCTTTTGTATTTGAATACTCAATGTGAACAATTCTTTTTGTTGGGTGCTTAGTTGAGCAGTAAACTCCAACTGAGGTGTCATTACACAGCTTTAAGGATGCTTAGGGATGGCATAGGCGACACGCTTGCTATGCGAGCAACATTGTGCAATGGTGCATTCATGGTACTTTCACAATATCGTGAACTTGTAAACGCACAGCGCCATTCTGCACATGAATCGTTTTTCTTTGATTTTAACAATTTAAAGATAAAGTCAAGCCAAAATTGAAATAACAACTTAATTTCAAATATTCATCCGGCCCTTGAGAAAGACCCAGACAATTTAGCTTTTAGGAACTTTGGGATATACAAACACCTCCACCCCGCAAAGGTGCCTGCTCACAGAGTGGCGGTGCTGCCTCTAAAAATGAAGTTTTACTGTCATAAATGCGCTTCATGTTTATTTGCTTTTTTAAAACTATGGGATCAACATGGAGCGACGCCACAATCCCAATGCTAGTCTTCTGGTAACAAGGAATACCTGTCACCTATGTAAAATCTGAACTCATTCATTTATACAGTACCTGTAAAGAGGTGAGGGAATTTGATGGGAAGAATGACAGCCTCTTTGAGAGCTTCCTTGGCTCCCTCCAGTCCAGCCACATCATTCCACCTCACGTTGGGTTTCTCCATAACTATCGCACCTGGACACAGACATGAGAGTTCATAGTTGAGACGAACTTGTGGGCTTCGATATACTATAAATATATTGTACATATCGTAAATTAAAAAAATAATTCTAATGAAGTGTGGTCACATTTGTGTTTGGCTGCGGGAATGGGACCAACCAATGTTACAGACCTGGAGTTGAGTTTTTACTAAGGATGATTTTTGATGAAGTTGGGACGTTGTGCAAAATGTAAATAAAAACACAATACACAAACGTGACCAAACATCCTCTATTGTTTGGATATGTCTACTTATTACAACTACTCCAGGTGGCAGTCTTTTTTTTTTTTTTTTAATTAATGAAAATGTTTTCATTGGTCTTCACTGGATCAATCGGCATGTGTTGAAGTTGATTGAGTCTTTGCACAGGACAAAGGTACTGTGATGCTTGTGACATAATCGACAAGAACCAGCTTAGTGTGCTGCTCTGTAGTGCTGAAGGAACAGAGAGAGAGAAGATGTCGGAGCACCGCTCTCACAAAATGTTGACGAGCAAGTGTAGCGTATTTTCTGCACTATAAGGCGCTGTTAAATATATAAAAAATCCGCTTTTCTGGACTGAGATGTCCGATGTTGTTCCCGGGATCTGTTGCAACCACTCATCTAGTTTGGGGGTCACTGTGCAGAGTGCTCCGATCAACATTTTCTGTTATCTCTTCTATTATTTTCTTCTCCTTTCTTTCTTACCGCTATTTTTTTCTTTTTCTTTTTCATGCTACCGCTATTTTTGTTTTTATTCTTCGTGACAGGGGTTCACTTTGACCTGGGGAGTCAAGTTCAGCATTCGCTTCAATGATATCTGGCGCCATCTAGAGTCGTGAATGGGTATAATGTCTAGACCCCGAATATAAGACGACTCCCACTTTTTCAGTCTGATTTTAATGCAAAAAACACCATCTTATATTCGGGCCAATACGGTACTGTGTCAAAAAAATCTGAATATTGATCCATATACAGCTCCCTCAGGATGTAGCATAAAGCACGACGCGAACTCCATAAAACTACAGGGTTTTTCATTGGGAAGCCGTGACAACTGGTCACAAACATGGACATGAAACATAAATACAAATGGCATTACACAACAGTAAATGAAAGACAAAAGTTATGTAGACAAATGATTCAACAAAAAGGCACACAAACCTTGTGGGATAACATCCACAAGGGGCTAAATATCTTCAGAAGTCTTGCTTGTCTCCTAACTTTGTTTAGTCAGTGCTTGTAGTATTATCGTCGTTTCATAACAGCTGTGCGGAGCTCACAAAGTATTGTCTGTTTGTTTGAGTGTGTGTTGACGAATGCACATGTCAATTAGTGTCAGTCAGAACCCTTTTACGTTACAATTGGTTCCTGCTAATAATCACCACTAGATAGCATAGATACACAAATTGGGAAACAACTCAATGGGGAGTACAAAGAGACTAACTAATACCATATGTAGGGTGCATCGGATTATAGGGTGCAGTGTCATCTTTTGGGGAAATTAAGTAATTTTGGGTGCGCCTCATAGTGCGGAAAATACGGTACTTTGCAGTTTTAGAGATGGACTGGAGAGAAAAATCCGCTCTTACTGTCCCAGTCATACCCACGCCCACACATTGAGAAAAACACGGTCAATTCAAAGGCATACGCAGTAAAGATCGCGCCGAAAACGGACATTCAATTGAGCAGCTGCTCTCGGTCACTCACATAAATGACACAGTTGATGGCTGAGTTTGTTTAGGAGATGGGGGAGATTGGATCTGAGGCTTCTAAGAACTATTGACAAGCACCTGACATTTTCTGAGCCCAATGATTTCCTGTATTTCTTGTACAGTAGGGTAAATTCTGGAGCCACGTCATAAACCAATCAAATACATTTGCCCATAACATCTTCGAAAGTGATAAATCAATATCCAACTCCAGATTTATCGTATAGTTTTATCTGTCACCCCTTTAAAGTTTCAAAAGTTGCATTTTGAAATCGTGATATCAAAAATGTTATTCTTTTTGGCGCTTGAAGGATTAACACACAAACACACTATACATTTTAATTTGGAACCTAAAAATAATTCAGTGCAGATTTTTGGGGGCTGTTGAAAAATCCATTGCACATATGGATTAAAAATATGTACCTAAAACATGAAGTGCACTTGTTTCCTTTGCCATTTTCGTAGTATCATTTAAGGTCAATTTTAACCAGGTAATCAAATCCCTAAAATTATCCTTAACCCCACTTTCATAGTCCTTTTTTTTTTGTTTGTGCACTTGTTTTTTTTTTCCTCACACGTGCTTAATCCTGAAATGTTCTTATCATTTCAAGTCAGGCAGAACAGTGTTATCCAATATTGCAGACCTGTCAGTACTGCACATTTGTTGTGAAAAAGAGGGGCATGTTTCCCACACTGACATCTCCACTCCCATGCCTGCATAAGGACTCCATGTGCACATTTCAATCTTTGAATGCACTCCAATTTCACCTATAAACATGTCACACAAAAGGATTCAGTCAAAGTTGGGAAAACTGCATTTCGCTGTCAGATGGGAAACTTTGTGGAGCGTTGCTCAGAAGACGTCTTTTTTGCCCATTTGCGATGGCATCTGAAGTTGAGGCAAATGGTTGCTTGTGCATATCAGGAGTGTCACATTCAATGTAACATGCATTCTACCTTCAATGCGCACACACACACAAATAGCATCAGATGCAAAATGAGAGAGCTTTCAAACCTGAAATTAATTCAGAAAATGTAGTTGAAGAACTTCCAATTCGTGTAAAGTGTTCAGATGGAAGAGAGTGACCCTGGAGACAATGACACTGAAGTTGCTGAGCCTAAGGATGTGAAGGGCTTGCAGATTCAGCTGCTCTTTTTCTGAAAATGTCCTCAATTCTCAACATTTCTGAAACTGCCCAGCAAGATGGGCAAATTTATTTATTATCATAGCCACTGATAAATTCTTCTGAGGAGAATTCTACACACACATTGTACAGATGATGATGCTTAAGTGTATGAGACAGCTTGATTGGTTGGTGAGAATAATGTGTTCCTTAAATTCACTGCCGATGGTGGATCACTGTCAACTGCTAACAAGTGAAAACCATACATTGGGAGGATTCTCTTTGGTTATGCCGGTTCAGTTTGTCTTTGGAAATGACAAGCAGACAGTTGTGTATATCCCAATACTAAAAATGCTGCAGTCATTGCTCAACAATAGAGACATTTTGGAAACGAGCATGCCACATGAGACGACTTTGTCAGAGGAATACAAATCTCACAGAGATGGTTACCGCTTCAAAGACAATGCTTTCTTGAATGAGGAAGAGTTCAAGATCGCTCTTGAACTGTATACTGATGATTTTGAAGTGGTCAACCCCTAAGGAACCTCCAGAACAGAGCACAAGCTAACTCCTGTCTTCTGGGTACGAGGCAATTTACACCCTAAATATCGCTCCTCTCTATTCAAGTCTTTAAAATGAACTCAATTTTAAAATCTTCAGCAATCCCCCCCCCCTTGGAATTACCCGAATTTCTGCATAAATTGGTCATAAAATGTGTTGTAATCTTCAGCGAAGTCACAACAATAGACACAGTCTGCTTGAACTAAAACCACATAAACAATATGTTCAAGTATTTTTATTGAACACACCATTTAAACATTCACTGTGCGTGGTGTAAAAAGGAAGTGAACCCTTGGATTTAATAACCGTTTGATCCTCCTTTAGCAGCAATAACCTCGCAGAGGGTTTTGTCATATTATCTTTGAGCAAAAGATCCTACTGAAGTTATACCGCAGGGCCTCTCCAAGGAACGCTGGTGGAGTATGGTGCTCATAACGTAAACTGTACGTGAGATGGTTATGTGGATAGCACAAAAAGTGCCACACAATTAGCATAGGTGAAGACGGAGTGCGAGAGATTATTCGAGTGGCATCAGGAGATACCCACTATCATCTACCTTCAAGAGGAACCATAGTATCAAGAACACGTGGTTTTTGTATGAGGACGAGAGGGCTCGGCAGAAGAACACGGTTACAAAAACAACTAATATCAGTGTCACAGGTGACACTGAACTTCTGTGAACAATAGGGGTGTTCACACGGCAACATTTGCTCCGGTGCTACGCCGGCGCTGCGCCAGTGGAGCGGTCACATGTGCAAATTTGCTCCGGGGTCGCCCCGGAAAACAGCTTACTCCGGAGCAAATTTGACCCACCTAATTTGCTCCGGAGCAAATGCTCGTTTGCGGAGCAGCACCGATGTAAATTTGCACGTGTGAACTCTCCAATTTGCTCTGCAGCAAATGCTTGTTTGCGGGGGAGGGGAGTAGCCTCGCTACGCATGAGAAGAGTTGATTACGTACGGCGAGAATGCGTTGCTTTCGTGCTCTGTTGGACTTACATCATGCGTTTGTTCAATAACGACACAAGACATGGCTGGTAACAGTAGCAAGCACCTCTTGGGTTATACCATCTCAACTACAATGGGGGAGGGGCCAGTCCCAAAACGTCATCTTTCCTTTTGTAGGAGACTGGACTGTCTCGGAGTTGTGTAGTTTGTTCCTTTGTTGTGTGTTCACAACTCTCCGCCCCCAATAGAATTTATTTCGTGATTTCCTCTCTTGATTTACTGTTTGGCGCATTCCATGTTTGCTTTTCTGAGTGTCATTGAAGTCATCGTTGATTTACGTTTTCGGGGGCGGTCACTCTCGAGCTGAAGGCACGGAGACCGAGAAGGAGAAGGACGTGCCTGTACAGTAGTTGCTTGAGTTGTGTATAAGATTTAAAAAGAACCAACACGACAGCTCATTTGTTTTCTGTCGTTTTGGTTCGCTGCAGAAACTGCCGTGTGACCGCAAGTGGAGCTGCACCTACGCTGCGCCGGTGCTAACACACTCAGCGGCTTTGTACGTGTGACCGCTCCACAGAATTTGCTCCGGTGTAAAATATATCGCAACAAAATATCGGTGTAGTGCCGGAGCAAATGTGTGCTGTGTGAACACCCC